CGCGCAATTTGAGTTTAAGCATCGGGCTTCTGAAAGCTATCTTCTGTAGGGATCTCCGATCGCCTTGTATAACTATCGATCAATGGCTTTCGCGCTAGGAGATCATCAGCTTATGGCAGGAAGGATGGATGAGCTCCCTATTGATATAATAAAAGGGGATGGAGGTGAAGTCTGAGCCCCGGATGAGGGGGGAATATATACACTGGGAAAGGAATCATGGGAGTCCGCCCCAAGATTGGAATGAAGGGAAGAAATAGAAAGATAAATAGATGGGGAATCCCCCTATGTGCTGAGAATAAGAGGAGCCAACAAACTGAAAGATACCGGCATGGGAGCCCCAAGCCTATGTAATAGTAGAAACCCTTAGAAGATAGTTTAGCATCACCCTACCGATGAGTCTGGAGGAAAGACTGGTGAATCAGGCAACCCTTCTACCTTGAATTCATAACTTGCATAATGAATTGCATCGACATCTTTGCCCGTGATCGAATGCCCCTTTCCCACGCCACCAATCGACGAATGCTGAGGAAGGAGTGAATCAACTGATGCAACCAACCACAATACAAGACACCACCCGAGCAACTACCCAACACCCGAAAGGCGGAATAATGCCAGGAAGTGACCAAGCAACTCCAAGTGAATAACCCACTATCTAACCAACTACCGATGAACTAATCAACAACCGAACGAGACTGAATCCAAGCGAGTGAATGAACGAGTCAGGGGTTTGTAAAGAGCAAAGGACTATAATAAACACTACCCGGAATAGGAGTCTTGGCTTATGAGTTTGAGCTGGAAGACGAGTCGAAGAAGTCAAAAGAACAGGAAGAGGCATAATAGCCATCAACCGGAAGCAGTGAAAAAATAGGAGGAGAGCTTGTCTCAGCAAGTGATTGGGATTGCCGACGAGGAAAGAGTTGCCTGACCGCGAGGAAGACCCTAGACGAGTGATTGGTCGAACATTGGAAAATTGAATACTTCCCCGGATTTTTGATTCAAATCTCTTCTTACCTTATTCTTGACCACTATTAACACAGCTTCGAAGATCGTTATCTTTTTTTCGCCTATACCTATATGTGACAAATGAATAAAAAAGAAAATTGAGAACTCGATCGAAGGGAAGGCTTAAGTTCAGAGACGAAGATAAGGCTTGGTGGCTTGCGAGGAAAGACTAGCTAACAAGGGAACGAACGAGAGCTCCTACTCGTGTTCCTGCTCCAGCTCCTATATCAGAAGTTACATATGCTCTGACAAGACGCTTTCTATTCTCTACTGCTTTCCTTTTATTATTCCTACTGCTACTCTTAGTCCTCCCATTAACTACAGCCAAGACTCCGCCTCTATCTCCTATGCCCCGTTCTTTTGTCATTTTGAATCGTTGATTGCTTGTGGTGATTGCGGTTCCTTTGTTTGTGTTATACCGGTTTCCTTTCCTTCAGGTGTGCTGGCAGGCAAGGGAGGACGAGGACTGGAGTCCAACCCGAAAGTACAACAAGGATTAAAGAACGTCTTAAAGCTCGCCTCTTTGCTTTCTTAAAAAGAAAAGCGGACTACGCAATAAGAGGCTCAACCATAAGCCCAACTCTAATGGTGGGGGGGAATGTTGAAAACAATCTTATTGGAAGCGGCTTTCGAGTGAGGGCAATCATCATAGTCAGCCAGCGAGCAATCCCAAGAAAGCCAGCTACCTAGCCTTTCTTATTTCCATCGCTAGCTTAAACTGAGGAATAAGAATAGGAAAAACCTCCAAGCCCCTATAAAGTAAGCTATTTCAATGTTATTATTCTGTTTCTTTCCTCTGTCCGGTACCAAAGCCACTCGAACTCGAATGCCTCACCCGCACCTACTTCGAATGCCGCACCAACTCCCTCAAACACAAGGGAGCGGGCACTGCTCTCAGCCTGTCGAAACAACAAAACAAAACTCCATACCGGAAGATCATTACCTTCTTCCTAAAACGGAATATAGACATTGGTACAACAGGAGGCTCGAGAGACAGACCTCGAGCGACACATCGTAATTTACGCTAACCTCAGCGTACCATCGGAGATACTTTAGCCACATCTTAACCCATGGTTCGCTAACAACATTCACCTTCGAAAGTGATCTACGACCCCTCTCCGGATCAGTCGGTGGGAAAATGGCTCGTGATCGTGCATTCAATCAATTTCCCTTGGGAACGGTGGCAAGGTTTGCCGTAAATAAACAGATGAGTCGGTTCAAGCAACCGAACAAGAATGCCAACTGGGTTCAGATACCCCAAAAGAAGCCACTTAGTATTTATTCTATCCCGGAGGGCGGGTCTCGTGACAACGCCTTCCTCTGCGGTCTCGTTACGACTCCCAGGAATAGCCAAGTCAAAACCGGCAAGGATGATCCCACACTCGGCTCAATGCGATAAAGAAGAAAGGGAATAATGAGAAGACTTTCTCCCTCTACAGGAAAGTGGTCGTTAAAGGAGACTGCTTTTGCTTTGAATGCTGACCCAAGCTTTTTGTCTTTGACAGACTCGGCTGTGAACAAATCCTCATCCTCTCTTAGAGAATCGACCGTTCACTCATGCTTTGGACGAGAGAAAGTCTTCTTAGTCTTAGTCTTCCGCTTGAACGAACGGTGATTCAAAATGAATACCTTTCTCAAGTCTCAAGGTAAAAAGGAGTTCCCGGCTCAAGCTAAATGATACCAGCACAAGCTAAGTCAATTCTTTAGTTTAGGGAAGGATCCCACGTGCCATCGATTGAGCTCTTGGATGAAGGGAAGTTTCATTTTGAAGAGTGGGGAAGAATAGGTCTTGTCTCTTTCCCTCTCCCTTGCTCTTGTCCTTGCCCTTATACTGGCTTGGCTAGGAAACTAGTCCCTTCTTGTGACAACAGAGGGAATTCCTGAATACTCGCTTATTTGACTCGTCCTAGGGAAAAAAGTATACGATGTCATTTTTTTACTATAGAAAACTATTCTCTTAAAGTACTTTCCTTTTCCTTCTCTTTGTCAAGCAAGGAATAACCAGCCTGGGGGAAGTATTCGTTAAGCAAATCCGTAAGCAAATAGGGAAAGCAATTCAATTCAATAGGGGCGGGAATAGAAGCAGTTTATCTCGGTAGAAGGCAAGCAACTCTCATAAGTGGTCTTCCGGTCAAAGCATAGTTCTTATCCCTTCTGGTAGCCAATCAGAATGAAACCAGACAGTGACCATCAGCCTTGGAAACTGGTAAGGCTGAAACAGAGGCTAGCTGTAATCGCTTGCATGTGGGAATTCAAATTGACAAAGCTAATATAGTACGTACAAAGTGGAACCATCGAGGTCGCAGAGCAATGTACGAGACAGAGACAGTACAAAGCGGGACTATAGAAAGTCACTGAACAATGTACGGAAAAGCAGATTCTTCCTAACAACCTATTATTGTAGCGTATTCTTGCAAACACCTTCTTCTTCCCACCGTATTCTCCACATCCACTGTGAAACTATCTCCTTCTAAAAGATAGTTGTAAAGGAAGATTTTTAGCCCCAACGACAAAGGAACGGGCATTTTCGGGGACTAGCCCGCTTCCCATTACTCAAGAGGAAAATTCCTCGCACATAATTAAGGGAGCCATTGAAAGGTGACCAAAACACCAGAAACGGGGACTACCCGAGCTAATGATAGAGGCAAGAACACTTTCCGGCCAAGTCCCATTAATTGATCATAACGATATCGTGGAAATGCTGCACGGACCCATATATATAGGAACAAAAACAGAATCACCTTGATACTAAACCAGATCGAGCCCGGGATCCTCTTGAAAATGGGAAGATCTAGGATAGGCGGCCAACCTCCTGGAGAGAGCGATGTGCATGGACCAGGTGAGTAGGGATGCAGCTCCGTGGACCGCTCGTCGGGCCTGATAGGTGGTGGTATCACACCCTTCTCAAAGGAACCGTACGTGACACTCTCGCGTCATACGGCTCCGTCCCGGAATCAGGACCTCCCCTTTCTTTTGACCAACGGGTCCTCGAACCAACGCTTCTGGGAAAGGAAATGAAAGACAAACCCAGCCGTCGTGACTTTTGTTTACGCGGTTCCTCACCTCACGCCATTCGTCTCACGTTAGATGAGTACGTCCGCGGTCAATCGTATAGAAACATCAAACTTCTCGGGACCGCCAAAGCCGAAGTTCATTTTCCCCAATCCTCTCCCACATCCTATAACGCCAAAGTTCCATTATTTCATTTCGCCTCATAAATTGGGCGTATTGGCGCCAAAATTCAACCCGTTGTTCATCTGTCATTGTTTTTAAATCAGGTAGTCTTTCATGCAAAAACATTGCGGGTTTCGGAGGGATTTGGGGCAAGCCATCATCCCTGGGGGCTGGTTCATTCAGATCCGGAAAGGGAAAGGGATCTTGAGAAGACTCCCCGGAACAATGAACGATTGGAATGGAGTCCGGGAAATCCGGATTTGTCGGTGGGACCGGATTTTTTGGCAATAGGTTTTTCACCCGAAAACCATAATCTTTCCCAGAAACTGCTTCTACGACGATAGGCGTAAAGGCATGATTAGTTCCACAAATCTCACTGCACTGACCATAGTAAACTCCTTCTCGTTGTACCGAAATAGAGATCTGATTTAAACGACCTGGTACAGCATCACATTTGACACCTGAGGAAGGTACAGCCCAACTATGAGGTACATCAGCAGATGTTACAATAATACGAAAAACAGTTTTGGCTGGTACAACCACTCTATTGTCCACTTCTAATAAACGTGATTGACCCAATTCTAGATCATCTTCTGGAATCGTATAACTGTCAAAAGTGAGTGACTGTTCATCGGAACTGTTATAGTCTGAATACTCATAAGTCCGATACCATTGATGTCCAATAGCTTTGATAGTAATGGCTGGATCTACTACTACCTCGTCCATTGAATATAAGAGAGCAAATGATGGTATAGCAATGAACATCGGGATGATACTAGGAAATATGGTCCGAAGAATCTCGATAGTAGTTCCATGAACAATCCTTTGCGGGATTGGATTTTTTTGAAAGTGGAAATGCCATAAAGCACGAACCAAGATCCATAATACGAAAACCAAAATCAGAATGAGGAAGAAAAAGATATCGTGATGTAAGTCTATTATTCCTTGCATCATAGGTGTTGCTGCGTCTTGAAATCCTAATTGCCATGGTTCCGCTGCATCACAATGAGCAATTGTGAGCAATAACCCTTCTAGAAAGTTCAAGTTGTCGAAGAAAATCATTGTCCTAATGAGGTACAAAACACTCGTAAAGCCGTACCGTATCCCTAGACGGTACAACTTCTTGTTACGCTGGATCGAAGAACAACAAAAGCTTTCTGATCCCAAATAAGGGGTGAATGGGTTTTCCATTCCAATTTTTAGAAAGTTCTTTTTCATTCAGCATGGTGCTTGATGAGCACAGCGCAGTTCAAGTTACAGCAACTTTCTTGTCTGCAACTATACTACGAAATTTTCATTTAGCTTAAGAACCAATTTCCATCAATTCCTTCTTTGCCTCATCTCTCTTCGATTATGAAATTAAACTTCTCCGCCATCGAAAGAGATAGAAGACTTAAGATTAGACCGATAGCCTAATAGCTGAAAGAAAATGGGACCTTAATAAGAGGCTACTACGGCCAATGCTGATACACCCGGAACCCCAGCCCCGCGTTTTGGACCACTTATACCGATAGATGGAAATAGGGGCTAAACGAAACGGCTTTCGGAATAGGGAATAGTAATTGAAAGGAGATAGACAGAAAGAGAAGGAATGCCCTAAATCAAGGGGCAGGGCCGGTTACACATTCCCTCCAGACTTGGAACTAGCCTTTTGAGAAGGAAAATGAATGACTTTATAATACAAAGCAGGCCTAGGCAGGGACCATCACCAACAGATGACGAGTCGAGAAAGCGGATCGAGAAGTAGGACTTGAACAAGCCCGATCTCATATATACCTAGGCGATTTCGCTCTTTGAAGCACTGACAAAAAAGAGCTGGAATAGGGCGCTAGCCCCCCTTCGAGGACCGGCATCGCAAGAGCGAAACAAAGTCAACCGGAAGACTGCCGGCCTCTACCAACGCATAGCCCCTTTTTCAAGGCAGGTAAAACATCTTGCTTTTCACCCTGAAAGATTCCTTCGAGAGGGCTATAGTTTCATCGTTAGATGAATGTCCCGGTATTGACAATCTTTCATACTATCTCAAAAAAAAGGAAAAGGCATGCGCCTCCCGCTCTACGGGATCAAAAGCACAGACCGAATCCAGGAAACTTCTACCAATAAACAAAGGCTAAGCGGATGGTGATAGACCTGCAACCACCTCCTTCGCTGGCTATAGACTACTCAACTGACAGAAGGAGGGTATGAAAGTAAAGCGCACGAAGAGCATTCCCCTAAAGGCCGGGGCTATTCCACCAAAAGCAAATGAGAGAAAGAATGGAATGAATGCTAGACTAGGGGTAGGGGAGTCACTTGCTTCGGAAGGAACAACACTCGCTAAAACCGAAAGGAGGATAGATTGATTCCCTGCAGGCCCACTCGGGGACTTAGAAAAAGCCCCTAGAAACAAAGGCTAAGCGAATGGGGATAGACCTGGAACAATATAAACTCGATCTCATTCTGTTAGCTAGCGGTATAAGTCTTCGTGAATCTTCTTTTATATATATATATATATATAAAGCCATACCACCTTCGACAGGTAAACAAACCGGAACCAGGGAAAGCAGAGTGAACAGCTATATAGCTTTTTTCTTC